GAAGTGAAGTTTTTCCCCGTTTTAACACTCGGAGCAGCGTCAGGTATTGGAGGACTAATCGTATTTCTACTTCTCCCACCCAAATGTATAACAAGCTTTGGTGCTGCCTTGGGCGCGCCACTATTAGTTCCAGTTTCGTCCTTGTTAGCTAAGCCATTAGATTTATTACTCTTAATCTTGATAGTTCTAGATCCTTTCGTCACATTAGTCGTCAAAACCTCATCAACGTTTTTGTGCTTCACTGCACTTGTACCTTCTGTCAAACTTCCAGCCACAGGAGAAAAGGCGGTGGGTTCGCCAGAAATTTGCATCTCTTCATTCTTGAAGTCGCCACCAAAACTTCGGTTCCCCTTTTTCTTGTTGTGCTTCTTCTTTGAAGATTTTTTCCCATGCTCTTTGCTCTTTTTAGGTGATTTATCGCCAAATCCTTTTAGAGAAAACTTCAACGAACGGCCGTATTCATTCTTCGGCAGGGGCGCACTTTCTTCATCGTCGGAGAAAGGCGAAATGTCGAATATTTCTTCCTGAGTTGGCAAACCAGCAGCTGCCCTCAAGCTTGCTATCAAATCTTTGTCAGCTTCGTCTCTTCGCTTCCAAAGCTCCTGAACAGACTCTTCGAGATTCCTAACCTGAAAATAGAAAGAGAGACAATAAACATGAAAAATGGATAACACGAGATACATTTGCATGGTACATGTCCAACAAATAATCCACGAAAAAAAAAACCACCTGGCAGCATTCTCCACGGCATGTTGGACAAACGTATTGGAGATTTCCGTCAACTTGAAATTGCATGTATTTTGCATCACTGAGAAATTGTTTACAACACAAATTAGAAACGACAAGTCAAAAATCGAGTAGAAAGACGTAAGCATATTTTCTTATGACATCCCAATAAATGCAAGATGAACAGACGACGAGACATATTAGAGCTGAAATGTATTTGCCCCATAGGAGGTTAGAATCACTCAAATTCATCAATTTTTTCTTCTTCTCAAGTACGTAGTTGTACCATTTCTCGAATCAATGCCGTATAACTAAATTTCAGCTCATAATCACATAATAGAAAAATGAAAGCAAGGAATACGAGATGAAGATCAAAAGAAGTTAAGGAGCTGAATAAACCTGATCCCATCACATGGACAGTGCACCCAGCGTTGACAGACATCACAGCATACCATAGGAGTCGATTCAGAATCTCTATAGACCTGCATTTTGTAAGAAGAATAGTTAAGCAATCAATTTGTGCTGACGCGGACACAAAACAATCAAATAAATAGACAAGGCAATAAATTGTACCTTCAAACAAACGGGGCAGTAATTTCCCTTCACAAACAATCTTCCGCAAGCATCACAACAAGTATATCCCAGAAACCACCTACATCACAAAGAGAGACATTTTTATCACCCCCAACGTTTTATCATTTCCTTTTTTGTTGGGTAGGAGAACTACAAAAGACAATGTATAGAAACACTAAATCAGCTCTCTGCGTAAGTTTAAAGTATATATTGATCATGATTCATGCATAAATCCAATGCATTGATTCTTATAATGTCATTCACATTGAATGGTCCCTTGCCACAAAACTCCAAGCAAGGTAAATCGGGTGGGTGGAGCACATAAGCATATACATACACACACACAAAAATAAATATATACATGCACATGTGAACTTACGAGCAGTCATGTCTTCCCATGTGTTCTTCAATATCATATTTTCAACAACGATTACCTCACTCAAACCCAAAAACCTAAACTTATTAACATATTATATAGAACAACGATGACGCATAACCATTTCTTCAGGTCCATCACATCACTAGATTTAAAAATGGCAAACCGTTTAAGAATATATTTAACTCAGAAAACAGAACCAACCCTGCTACAAACAGATGTTTCCTTAGACCAGTCATAAATACAGCGCCAGTGCATACAAATGAAGTTACTTATAACACCAAACAAAAAAAAGGTTGACCCGGATAAAATTATAAATGAAAAGGCAAATCAGGATGAAGATTCAAACCTTACGCTTAGGCCATTTCCAGGGACAGCCGAATCACAGCTATGACACTTGGTATGTTTTGGACACAGATAAGGCCCATGGCCGACATTCTACATGTTTCAAAAGTGAAATATATAAGCTAATTGATAAATTAATACAACTTCGGGGATAAAGAAATCAGGAGCGCACCTTGTGTGGAGGTTGCTGACAGTAACAGTGGTATGCACCGTCGCACCTTTTACAGAACATGAACTTATTTGGATCTCCTGTTCGTCTGCAGACCTAGAGAAGCCAAGAAAAAAGAAAATACATAACAAACCAAATTAACTATACGAAGTTAGACAAGCTTCCCAAGCAGCTATCAAATCAAAACAAATCCCGAAAAGAAATCACCCTCCATAATGCCTTAATTGGACTCGCCAGCTTATATTGAAAAGATTAAGTGAAATGTTGAAGTAACTCTCTTAAAAAAAGGCCTTCTAAATATCTGTCCTTAACAAATTAACTAGTTATAAGTATTAGCCTCAAGTAAGCCTTCATCCTTGAGCACCTCTTTCGAATCATTATCAAAGATCAAACTGTAAATGATACATAAATTCCGGATAAAATAAATTCAATTCTAACCAGCCTTATTCCCAATTTTATTAATAAGGACACATGTTCCCCATATGGACACAGGTAACTGTTAGATATAGATATCATGATATTACAAGTGCATTGTTTAAAGGACTTCACCATAAGTGAATAAGCCAAATTTTACCTCACATGTACGACAAGAGGGACAAGTCCAAGAACTCCAGTGAAAAAGATCTGCAACAATTTAATTAGAAAAGCACAAGCATTTAATCAATCAATACTTCTTTTCTAGCAACAGACAGTACCTCTGTTCTGAGACCAGGATTTCAAACAGCCTCGGTGATACTTCTTGCCGCAGCTATTGCAAGATAGCATCTTTCTTGCCTTTTCGTTTCCTTCATTTTCACCAGAAAAGCATAACCGGCACAGTACTTTGGCAGTTGACTGACCTTGCTCCTCTCCAGCACCGTCATTTACGGAAGTCTGCTAAAAAAGAATATTGTAAGGACCTTGACAGTGTGGACGGAAAAACCAATTTTCTTTATGTATTTACATATCATCATCAAAAGAGATGAAATGCCAATGAAAATAGAGTCTCGAGAGCCACTGTTTAGTAAGAGAAGACATGTGTCTTTGAAAATGTCAGTGCCAGAGTACATGTAATGATGTAACAAGGGAATGTCATCATTTGTTCGTCCAACACTTTTAACTCCAATAAATGTTAGATTAAGTCAGCATACAAAAAACTGCTGAAATAGGACACACAGCTAGATATAATGAACACACACAAAAAAAAATGTGTTCCTCCGTATGGACGTGACATGGACAGGGAAATCCCCCTTCCTGAAGCTTTTATGTAAGAATCGTGATGAGAATTTTCTTTGTTTCCAATTTAAGCAATTAATTAGAAGTATAGCGTCATCTCATCTCAATCTGAACAACTAAATGGGATTCTCGTTTTTTTTCAGAACATAATAGTTAATCTAGTTCATGTTGGAGAATAATTTAACAACTAGCGACAAAAAGTGTAGTGTAGTAAATAAGTCATAACCGACAAAAAGGGTCTTTCTTCTGTACAACGACAAACTTTAATTTCCACGAGAGTCCAAAAATTGTCTTCATACCCATTGTCGGCAGAAAACAAAATTGGCAAACGAACAAATATTTCATAATAAAGAAATAGTGAAGATTGCCATATGCAATAACTGCATAAATTCAACCAAAATTATAGCCTGTAGACAAGAATACTAAATTCTATATGAAAAGTTTCCTTGTACTACACAAGGTATATGATATCCAATGCAACACGTGTAACACATTTAAGCCGACAAACAAAACTGATGAAGAAGAAAGGCAAGTGCATACTTAACAAACCAGCAGAACCTTGTGTCCAAACAAACAGTGCACACAGTGATAAAAGCAAATATTTATCATCTATACTCTATTTCTTCTATTTAAACCGCATATTTGACACTAAAAAAACATATTAATCCATGAAACCAAACAAAGTAAGCTCATTTATTAGCAACCTTGATACCTTCGCACCTCAAAACAAAATCTGGGAAGAATATTGTCAACATGAATAAAACAAAATTTTATAATTTCAAAAAAAAAAAAAAAAAAAAAAAAAAAAAGGAATCCCTCACCAGCAAATCACCAGACTCAAACCTCCTGGCGTAATCCTCAGCCACAATCGACGCGGCAGCAGCTTGCTTCTGCAGCGCAACCCTCTTCACCTGCGCGGATGCCGCTTCAATCGCGGCGGCGTCGTCTCCTCCAACCCCGACCGACACAGCCGCTGCCGCCGGAAATTGGGGCGGCGGAGGCGGCGGAGGCGCCGAGACAGCAACTTTGGGAACCTGAACCTGAATCGTGGCATTCTCTCTCGCCTTAATCAACCACGGATCACTCAGAAACTTCTCAACCCTAGCAACCTCCTGCAAAAAGTCCTCCTTGCCCTTCTCGCTCCGCAACCTCCCCGGATAACCCAACGCACAGAAACATATCTTCCGGCTGCCACAAAAAAAATCAATTGAGTGAATTAGATTCGTTCAGAACTCAAAAAAACCCCCACACACAAACACACTGGAGTGCGTGTTTTCAGAAACCCTTGAAATGGGAGGGGGAGAGAAGAAATAGAAATAAAAATCAAAACTTGTATCTATATCTGTATCTAATTCTTTCTGTAATTGATGAAATTAGAGAGAGAGGGGGTTACTACTCACCAGGTAATTGGGCAAGCTACATGAAAAGCCATAATAATGTGCGAGAAAAAAGGGGGGAAAATTATTTATTTTTTTCGAGTGTGTTTAAGCAGTGGTGTTTAAATTGGGTTTTGGGGGAGACAAAATTAAAAAGTTTTAATCTTTGGGTTGATGGGAAAAAAAAAATTGGGAAATTGGAAAAATAAAATCGGAGAGGAGAGAGAGAGGGGTAGAGAGAGAAGAAGGAGGAAGAGAGAGAGAGATCTCGGAATGGGCAGAGTTGTTTGTAGTGGGGGGAATTGTGAGTTTGCTCCCCCATGGTTTTGATAATTGCATATTTGACCCTCTTGAGAGAATCTTTTTAGGCGATGGATTTTTCACTTTGGGGCTCCAATACTTGATTATTTTTTATTGTGGCCCTATAGTTTGAGAATTTGGTCAGATCTATTTTCAAGTAATTTACACATTAGGGCTTGATTTACAACACTTTTATTTATTCTAAAATAAGTTGTTTTAAACTATAATTTGAAAATTATATTGGGGACAATTTTCTTAATTTAAAGGGCAAATTAGGACCACCCCTGATGTATGGACAAATTACGAAAAAACACCCTCTTGTTTGAGTAATTACAATCACCCCCTCCTTTTAAATATTTTCACATCAAATTTATGTAATTCGGTTATTTAGCGAACCAAATCGTATATTCAGTTCGGTAAACAGTATAAAATATTGGCGTATCGAAATTTCGGTTCGATTTTACTAATTTAACATCTCTTAAATTTACATCTGCGAGGGTATTTTCATAAGTTAATACATAGTTGAGGGGTGGATGTAATTACCCAAACAAGAGGAAATTTTTATAATTTGACCATAACTCAGGGGTGACCGTAATGTGCCCTAATTTGAAAACATTTTTATAAATAATTGAAAGTTCCATTTGACATTGTGTCCTTGTTACTTTTTTCCAAATTTATTGTAAATTAAACATTTCACAAAAAAGAAGAAGAAAATTGAAGATTGTTTTGATGCATTCAAACTTTTTACTAACATGTTAATATATTTTTGCTATATGTTTAATGAATACATAATTTATATAGTTAGCGATATCATCGTACTTTATTACTCCATAATCTATTGTTCGTTTTATATATTTTCAATATTTTTTTAGGCCGACTAAATTTATTTGCTCTTATTAACTCTTACTTTAACTTAATTGGAAAATTATGTATTGAACTCTTTGTATAACGCGATGATGGAGAGGTGTAAACAAATCGAGTCCAGCATAACACATGTTCGTTAAAAATTGTTTGATTTTTTAGCAAGTTTTTAAATTTGTGTTTAAGCTTGATTTGATAAGCAAACGAATCAAGCTCGAGTAACTTAATTTATTGTACTTTTTTTTTTCTTCATTTTTTCAAATCAAACTCGAGCTGAACTGGGCAATGGGAAATCCACGATTGGGATATAATATAATTGTAATATTATCACTCTATCCTTCGAAGCTAAACTATTGTACGATGCGGAGGGCAATTCAGACATTTTCGACATTTTTCGATTGGGTTGGTTTAAGGCCCAAAAAACAAATTGACCCAATTAATTTAGGATGCCAAATATCTTATCTGGATAAATAAATGGTCACACCCTATCTTAAGCTACGCTCGCCATATATGTGACTGAGTGTGCGTTTCTTTTTTGTCTGAAAAAACCTTAATATACTTTAAATAAGAAATTTTAAAAATATATATTCAACACAAATTACAAAAACCCCCCTCATATTTCGATAATTAACAAAACAACCGTATGACTAGATTTTGACCGTTTAATCTAGGGAATTGCTTTTTGCGGTTTGAAAATTGCTATTTGCGGTTTTTGATAAAACCCCCAAAAAAAACAATTTATTTCACTAAAACCCCAAAACTTTCCAAAAAAATCAAAAAACCCCCCAAAACGCCTAAAAGCCCAACATGGGCGCCCATTTATGCAGTGCACGCCCAAGTTGGGCGTGCAAGCTGCATTTGGGCGACGAGTTGGGCGTCCAGTGCAAATTTTTTTTTTTTTTTTAAATTGTCGAACGCCCAAGATGGGCGCCCAAGGCGTGTACGAACGCCCCGCCTTGGGCGCCCATCTGGGGCGTTCGACCATTTTTTTGCGAAAAAAAAAGCCCTATAAATCGATTTGTAGGGCTTTTTAACATGAAATTGGTTCCGTAATCGACCTACCCAATGCATATTACACATAAAAGAGTCGAAATTACATCAAAAAATCGAAGCCCAACCCTTCTTAAAGCTTGATTTCGAATTTTCGCGGTTTTTTTTCTTTTTTTTTGCTATTTGCAGTTTTGGGGGGTTTTTTGATATTTTTAAAAGTTTTGGGGGGTTTTGTTAGAAACCGCGAATAGCAATTTTGTGACCGCAAATAGCATTTCCGTTAATCTAACATCAGTTTAATGCAAATTCTCATTCAGACAAGAGCTGTTAGAGATTCAGCCGAAGTTTCTTAATACAAAATTTAACGACAACCGGTCCTGCAAAATCTCCAACAATGCATCCTGCAAATAAAAAAAAATAGGTTCAAGTTTGGATCAAGAAAAACACCGAAATTGTTATGTAAAATAGTTTCTTGTTTGGTTAAAAAATGAAAAAATGTGAGAAAACTCGTATGCAGTTCCTTGATTTCATTTTCTTCATTGTGAAATCTACGATCAAAACACAGCCATACAGTTCGTTTCACATTATTTTTAATGCCAAAAATCGGATGAAAAATCATACCAATAAATTGACCAGCTGCAGGATTAACAATAGTTGCTCCAACCCCGCCACCAATAGAAGCGAAAACGAGTGATGCACCACACCTGATCGTGGCTCCAAAAACCCACTTTGCAAGAACTCAAAATTGTCGTTTATATACACGAGTAAAGAATTCGTAGATATCAACTCCAACATGAACTATCCATGATGCTAAAACTCCAAGAAAATGCCCTGTTTTTTTTATACCAATAATAATAATAATAATAATAATAATAATAATAATAATAATAATAATAATAATAATAATAATAATAATAATAATAATAATAATAATAATAATAATAATAATAATAATAATAATAATAATAATAATAATAATAATAATAATAATAATAATAATAATAATAATAATAATAATAATAATAATAATAATAATAATAATAATAATAATAATAATAATAATAATAATAATAATAATAATAATAATAATAATAATAATAATAATAATAATAATAATAATAATAATAATAATAATTATAATAATAA